GGTTTAATAACAGAGGCCACAGAAAACTGAAGCTGATCTCCGCTGTCTACACACTTGATTCACTGCGCTGGAGATTCAATGTCGAACCTTATAAATTCAGTTCATGTTGAAAACAGTGTTTACAAGTAGCTTTATCTTACAAAAGAAAAGTGATTGATTTTTTGGTGTGTCCATTATTATCTTCCATTTAACTGTTTTCTCGTTACCAGATTTAATTACTAAAACATCACATTAACTGTTAAGTCAATAACTTAGGATCTAAAACAATTACATAGATATGACTTTAATATCACTATCACGTTTTATGACGAATGTTTTGCCACTGAAGGTATAGTACTCTGACTTCATTCTGTATGTATTTACATTTTTTCCTAATTATCAGGAACAAACATGCCACTAATTTTTCACATGTTTTGTACAATTAATCATTTACATAATTCTCTACACATTAGGTGTAACAACATAATTAATAAACATGACTACATTATGACACGTATCAAATTACTTACCACAGCGCATTAAATAAATGTCATCGAAAAGGAAGCCCGGGCTTCAGATTCTCCTACTTATACATAACATAATGTCATACAGATACAGAACATGATATCTTATGTCACTAGAAGAAGATTCTCTCATTGTGGCTAGCCTTGTGAATTATCATTTTAATATTAAGTACTCCATTATCATCTTTCCTGGATTCATATGAGAATTTAAAATATTTTATACAGAATCGTGATATAATAATAAAACAGGCGAACAGAGTTCCATAAGTTATTGACCAAAAACATTCTCTCTGATATACAATAATATTTTCTTTAATCAATGCATTTACAAGATAAGCCTTCAATTTACTCTTTCATAATTTTTTTTTTCTAGTGGACCATTTGTATTTTATATACATGTATATCTATACACTGTTAATTTAAGTAGAGGAAGCAAAAAAACAGATTGCAGGATAAATTAAACGATGCTTACTCATGTTAAATCATTATTAAAGGAAGTTGGGAAAAGAAATTTTCTAGGAAATTCCATCTTTTACCCTCTATATAACTCTATATAACTTACATGGTGAAAAGAACTGGATTACTGCAATACAATTTTATGAATCGTTCAGACTTGATAATGTTTGATTTTTTTTTCTACGATTTCCTTTGTCAGTACCGGTAATTCATATGTAAATATGACAAATATTGGACCCTGGGTAACATATCTCAATGTCCTGTTGAAGCTTGATCCCAATACGTCTCCAAAAATAAATTCTCTTATTCATTTGCGTAACCACCTGATACTAAAGCATGTCTAGCGAAAGCTTAAACAGTAATAATCTGAGATTATCTTGGAATCAGCTTGCTGAATGCTCTTGACTGAGTGACAGTAACTAAATGGATTGTACAGTAAACCCACACGGCCTCTACCACACTGCTAAAAACCCCAAAGTCCCAGAAACAAAACTATGCATATCCTCAATGTAGCAGTGCAAGTCTTTTAAATTTCATATACAAAAACTCTGCATAGGAAGAAATGACAAGGATTAAGATAAGAAAATAATGAAATAGCTAGACCCCACTTCCCAGACAACAGGGCAGATATAAGAGGGAGGTATCGATTGATTCTTCACTGAAACAAATCTCTTGTTAATCAGACAAGTGTATCACACAGTACATCTGATCATCACGAGTTGGATATATTTACAGGGAGAACATAGACATTTTAACAACAATCTAACGGCACTGAAACTTTTGATAAAAATAACAGTACTCCCAGATAATGCTAATACCTGTAAACGACTTGTCAACTGAAATACTTCTGATAACCCTCACCCAGTAAATAAGATTATCTAGCATGTGTGGGGACAGCCTAGTATTAGCTCATGTGCTAGTATGAGATTGTTTACACTGGTCGAGATAACAAAACTAAGAATTTGGAACACTTCATATTACTGCTTAGTGTTCATAGCCATCCAAGAGTTATCCCCCTTACTCCAAGACAAATCACATAGCAATGAAGCATTTTTTTTTCACAGAATACTTTGTGATTTCTTCCATCTCCTTAACATACTTAACTTACTAACAGAAGAATGCAATATAATTTACCAATTAAAGAAAAAAAAACCCACTCTTAATAGCCCTATGATGTGTTGTCATGAAAAATTTCATGAACAAGACTTTCTTGAAAATCATGACCACAAAAAAATAGATTCTAGAGGTCCACTGAAATATAAATCAGTTGATAGGAAATGATTAGAGAAGACATTTAAATGAACAGAGAGACCTGTCACTGCCAACATATTGCTTCAAACAACTTCAGAAGTTTTTTTTTGTTAAAATTAATACCATCTCACGACAAAAAACATAAATCATTCCATTTCTTTTATGATTTATACATTCATGTTAAGCTTATCTCTGATTCAGTTCACTACTGAAAGACATTTCTCTCTGTTCTGTCACCTCAAAACGTTTCTTTTTTATGAAGTGTACTATTGATCCATTACTCCTGCATGTTTAACAAATAAGATCAGTGCGGGCTGTAATTCTGTCATAATTGTTAGCATTAAAATCCACCATAAAGGATAGCAGTCAAGCGTTTACTTCATAACATGTCCACAATGGCAAGCTTGAAATAGTAGTCATATAGAAGAGTAAAGGTGAAGATATGATTGTAACAAAAGACGCCTTAAAACACAACATTGACAAACCTCTGATGGCTACTCACAGATAACTACCGCTGTCTGTCTATAAGACACACTTTATCCAAGTGACCTATGGCTGCTTCTCATGGACCTTTTCTAATTCTTCTTACGAATTTATTAATAGGCCATTACCTTCTGATAATAACCCAGATGACTTGCCATTCTGTTATCATAATATATAAAAAATGTTAAGCAAAAGGCTAGATGTTAGCGAGGATTCATTTGGCTGCAGTTAAAACTACCTAAACAAGAAAAAGACAACTTCAAACAACATAGGATCCAAGCACAGCGAACAAATTTCTTCCAATCTACAAAATATGCTTTGATTTTTTACATCCTTACAAGATATCACAGAAATACTTGAAGCTTTGATTTTTCAATTCAGTTCAACATATGTGTGGAAAGGGATCACAAACAGCTGCACAATACCGTCGCAAGTTTTAATTTGTAAAAGTGAACTTCATACATATTTAAATGTTGATATATTTGTAAACTGGCACTGTGCTCTGGCATGTTGGAGCAATTACCGACAGAATCTCCTGCTGTTGGAGATGTGGAAATAATCCATTAGGTTTATTTTGTATGGAGGTGTTCAACTCCCAATTATCTGTATCAGTCTGGGTGGTTAACAAAATCAAAATGGTGAGGCATATCATGATATTAAAGTGTCCATCCTTTCTTTTCTTTTTTTTTTTTTTAAATAAATTTCAAATAATTACATATTAAATTATTAACAGACTTTTAAATGAGTTATCATAATCCTTTAGAGGTTTGAGAAGGCAGATCTCATAAAACACCAATTCTGTTATTTAGTATCAGAAATGTTTTTATACTACCATTGATCTTTTAGAATATCTTATAAATATTCATGAGGATGTTTAGCAATAAAATACATCCCCTGGGACCAGAAATCATTCCTGTCGTCTTCAATGAGATGATCTACCTTGGGCCATCATATTAAATACATATAGAATCATTAACACTTAACAAATGAAATACTTTTTTTTTTGGCTTTCAAACAGTGAAACATAGCCCTCCATCACTGGTTATCTGATCATGAAAAATCTGGTAACTGCTATAAAATATTCAGCATTCTCTATTACAGTGCAGACCATATTGCAGTGCTCAGCGAAATGTATTGAATTCATACAAGTTCATCTGCATATGTCTGACAAATGACATGTGATTATCATTGTTATGGGGGACATGTTTGTTATATGGGTAATTTGTTACATGATAACACTCTGATCACTTTACTCGGATGTGTGATAAAAACAGCTGTTATCAAGTGTGCATATTACAGTGTAATGATATGATAATCAATATCAAACAAAATGACAAAGAGAAACTCGAAATAAACATATATCATTTTCATTTGCAATTCCAATTGGTGGTTATAGATAATAACGCCTACAATACTGCTACTTTTAGCTTTCAAACCCATCTCTGTAAATAAAAGTTATCTGCAATAAACAACTTTATGGGGAAAAGTCAGTTAAGATCTACATTTGTTTCTTAGAATTTTTTGTTATTTTAATCAGTAATTTCATTTAAGCATTGACTCATTATTTTTTGAAAGATAGTCTCATAACTGCAACGGTGTGTGCAAACAAATTGAGTAATACGCGTTAGCGCATTATGAAAATTTGTTTGCACACACCGTTGCAGTTATGAGACTAAATCTTTCAAAAAATAATGAGTCAATGCTTATATTTACATTTTTAACTCTTTGCCTAGACTGCAAATGTGATTTAGATTTCAACATCCCTGTATTATCCTTCGGTTAAGTTACAATTATTGGAAGAGCCATTGCAACAGCTTCTGTTCAATGCGAGCATGAATTTTGATTTTCGCTTATGACGTTGCACTTCCACGGCATTCAACATTTGTGACGTCAAAATAAAACGCATACTTAAACCTTTCGAACCCCTGTCCTTGTTATGGTGTTTTGATTGCCATAGCTTTCATCACATTATATAAGCAAAATATTAATTTATCTTTCTTTTGCGAGTTTATAAGAACTAAAATATAGACTAGAACTCTTCCCCAATTACCGATAAACAGATATAAGCATATAAATAGAGACAAGAACGCTTCCCCTAGTACCAATAAACAAAGACAAGAATGCTTACCCAAGAACCAATGAACATATATAAGTTCCAAAAAAGATGAGAAATGCTTTCTCAAGTACCAAAACACAGACATAAGTTCAAACATAGACAAGAATGCTTCCCCAAGTCTGGAAAACAGATTTATGTTCAAAAATAGACAAGAACGCTTCGATCCCAAGTATCAATAAACAGATACTCACAGTTTCCTTTCCTGGGAACAGTTCTTTTCTGATCTTGAAGAAATCTTTCCCGTACGTTCTTAACCCTTTCACAAAGCGTTTCTGAAAGAGAAAAACGAGAAATAAATTTGATATATACGTACATTGATGTCAATAGATACTTCTCATGTTTACCAACATTTTTTTTGGATCTGATTTCAATGTACATAATCTATTTTGTTCATGGTGCGTAATCAAGTTACAAACAACATTAAAAATACTGCCCTTAACCTGTTAACCACACTTAGGTGTGTGAATAAACCAGCATATTGTTTTTCATAAAAAAAGCATGTGTTGCCATGTAACCTATGTATTACAAATTGTGTGGAATTTTAATGCTACAAATAAGTGTCCAATGAACCAGGTTATCTGATTAATTCTACGACAGTGTCTCAGGTAGCCACTAGAAAGCAATATACATAGATCCAGGCTTCTCAGGTGTATATTCCCTTTACCAGGTATTCAAGAAATAGGGGCAGTTTTCTGTTACAGGGCAAGTCATGACTTAATGTGTACAAATTATCTTGCCTTTACCAAACATTACATCAAGTGATTGCCAATGTTATAGGAAACTCTAAACATCTTCAACAAACGTTCAAAACTGCTACCAAACATTCACCCAGCCGGCTTTTGATAAGTCACTTCAAATTACTTTATTTAGCCAAAGAACCAAACCCGACATCAAGTGTCCTATAACTTGTTAATCCTTATTTATAACTATTAAACACCAAACTGTCTAGCAAGCTATTATCCTATTGGGATCCGGTCTAAACAGATTAGCAGGGCTTAAATCTTAAGAATTACACCTCAGGAAATCAAATCTACATATTGTATTGCCTCAAGAATCATTTCAACATATAAATCCAGAGAGGCCTTGAAAATGATCTATTTTTCACCTAAGGGTCCTGAAATTTTTTTTTTATTTATGCCACATGCCCTTGAAATTTCCTGGATTTTTTCCCCTCTAAAGTGTGAGACACTGCATTAAAAAACCAGAAGTCTCTGATGAGACTGTAGCTCTACTGGTCTGTACATATACATGTAACAAAGAAAAAGTAGCACTTGGATTTGAAACTTTCCAACCTGCAGCAATAAATAGAATTATGTATCTTAATATAGTGTACTTGTGTGCCAAGTTAAATTGAAATCAGATCAAAACTGTAGGAGGAGTAGCGTTTTAAAAGAAATTCACAGAAATTTCTATTTTTAGTAACCATGGCAACATCATTCATCCAAATCAAAAACTGATGCTTTGAATTATGTATCTTAGTGTAGTCTACTTGTGTGACAAGTAATATTGAAATCAGATCAAAACTGTAGGAGGAGTAGCGTTTTAAAGGAATTTCACAGAAATTTCTATTTTCAGTAACCATGGCAACACTGCTCATCGAAATTAAAAACCGATGCACTAAATTATGTATCTTAGTGTAGTCTACTTGTATGCCAAATCATATTGAAATCAGATCAAAATTGTGGAAGGAGTAGCATTTTAAATGAATTTCACAGAAATTTCTATTTTTAGTAACCATGGCAACATCGTTCATGGAAGTCAAAAACTGATGCACTAAATTATGTATCTTATTGGAGTCTACTTATGTGCCAAGTTGTACTGAAATCAGACCAAAACTGTAGGAGGAGTAGCGTTTTAAAGGAATTTCACAGAAATTTCTATTTTTAGTAACCATGGCAACACTGCTCATCCAAATCAAAAACCGATGCACTAGATTATGTATCTTAGTGTAGTCTACTTGTGTGCCAAGTTATATTGAAATCAGACCAAAACTGTAGGAGGAGTAGCGTTTTAAAGGAATTTCACAGAAATTTCTATTTTTAGTAACCATGGCAACACCGTTCATCCAAATCAAAAACTGATGCACTAAATTATGTATCTTAGTGTAGTCTACTTGTGCGCCAAGTTATATTGAAATCAGACCAAAACTGTAGGAGGAGTAGCGTTTTAAAGGAATTTCACAGAAATTTCTATTTTTAGTAACCATGGCAACACCGTTCATCAAAATCAAAAAACGATGCACTAAATTATGTATCTTAGTGTAGTCTACTTGTGTGCCAAGTTATATTGAAATCAGACCAAAACTGTAGGAGGAGTAGCATTTTGAAAAATTGTTTACAGACAGACGGACAGACAGACAGACAGACAGACAGACAGACAGACGGACGGACGCCGGACACCTTACTATCGCATAAGCTCTTCTGGTCTCTGACCAGTAGAGCTAAAAACCTTTTTTATTCTACAAAAACTACTGCAAATGGCATATTTTACAGTCAATAAACATATAAACTTGCATTAAAGATCGACTTCTAAGTTATATACTGTGACTATTCTGGACATGCTCTGAACCCTTTCTTCTTTGTATTATTTTTCTATATCACTAACTACTGAGAGAATTAAACAAACAGCTTTTATTACTCACAGGAAAAAACCAACATGACAATGTATTCTGAGGCTTTAATCACGTTGCTTTATGCATTTCAAATTAAAGGTATGAATACCCAATGTGCAGGCACAAGAAAGAGAGAAATCAAATATTTACATTCTACAAATTTGTTCAATTATAGAGTGTTTATAAAACAAGATTTTCCTCTGAACAAAAAGTAATATGTATCCTCTTGGTAAAATAAATTCTAACAATATTGAAATTTAGCATTTAAACTGATACAGTATGTACAAGAGATTTCCATGTTTTAATTACTGACGGCAGGTTTAAAAGAGAAAAAAGTTCACATAAAGAAGTCTAGCTGAACCACAAACCTTTAACTATGTCTGACATTTTAACAATTTTGAATGATTTATGGCCATTGACAAGGGATGACTGTAAAATTATATATTCTTCAAAGAAATAAAACTGTTCTTGAAAATATTTTGAACTAAATGGCTAATGAGCACATAAAATATAAGGTTTGATTTTTTTTTTAAATTAGATCTATGTGTTGCTGGGTTACAAGTTTTTTAAAGCCACATCATCAGCAATTTTAATTTGTACATGAAATTCCCATCAAGATTTTAACCAAAAACCAAACCAAAAACAAAACAAAAAAACTCACAAATAGGAAGAATCAACACTGTGATACAATTTAAAGGACTTATCGCATGTTTCTAAATTATTTGAATTAAAAGCGTAAAACGTTCCTTATGACCACAGTTTATAAATTTTGTGTTTTTACTGCGGATAAACCGCGGTAATTAACCAATTATTGACTCAAATGAAAACCCCTGAATTAAAAATCTAGGTTAATTAGATAGCAATCACGTGACCCTGTGACGTCAAAGGCGACAATGGCTGATCAGCTCTTCACGTAAATCTTACTAAAGTATACGCGATACAACCTGAATTTTCTGCGTTATGGACGACCAAATCACTGATTTTATCGATATGAAATTTCATATCCAACCTTATATTTTAGAATTGTCAGCAAGAAATAATCTGAAAAATCCGTTAACATTGTAAAAATAGCAGCGACGATAGCGAGGGAGAAGCGGCGAAGACGAAGAAACTCGCCATCACAATACAATTTGATTTGTCATTTTATCACATGTATTAACTTTCTTGATTCACAAATTTAATATTACATAACTTTATTATTCTTCGTTTTTAACATAATATTAACTTATGCAGGTATGCTTTCATATGTTTTGTAAAGGATGACGGTCTTGAAAAATAATTTTCCGATCACGAAACATTGCCGTAATCAGACCTACAGATTCTAAATGTTTGGAATAAAAAACGAAAATATCTCAAAATTCTTATACCTTAGAACTAGTTAATGTTTCTATAGTAATTGAAAATCACGTTAGGAAATTAATTTTTTCAGCATTTTTCATAATTAAGCTGCATTTGTAGTTGATAACTCCGTAAATAGTGTGCAACTTCTCATCTCTCTATCACTGAATTGTCGCCTATGACGTCAGAGCAGTATTTCGCCGAAATCCGACTGAAATATGCATATTGCCGTATTTGAATTTCAACTCTCAATATCTCTTAAAATATGCTTTCAACAACGTTTATTGTATTCAGAATTTTAATAAACAAGGCTGTAGATAATATTTTTCATAAAATTAAGATTTTTGAAAAATCATGCGATAAGTCCTTTAAGAGTCACTGTATATCTTAAATATTCTTGTACCTCAGTAAAAACAAAACACAATTATCATACTACTTAATAAACGAAATGTCACATCTAAATTTGTTATCATGTTTGATCAATTCCAAATCAGTTAAACAGGAAAAAGATACATGCTAGTTGCATCATAACAGAGCTATCTGGGAATTCTTTAGTTTACTTATGAATCATGACTTCTAACTTAATAAGTCCACTTCATCACAAACAATGAAATTGAATCTGTGAAAATTTAACTAATGAAAGCTCTGATAGGAAATGCACTCAGCTTGCTAAATTTGCATGTTCTAAAGACATAATTGTAATGGGAAATGGATAAAATCCATAATTTACATGATCCTAATTGGTTTTTAAAGTCACTGCCTAGGATCTTTATTGATTTGCAGTGAAAGATGGGAGCCCAAATCTATTAGATTTCCTGCGTTTTATGAGGAAAAGCAGAGCCAATGGCTTTCATACACACATTTTCCCACCTTGCCTCTACTTAATCATTCAAAGAGAAAACATGGCCTGGAATATAATGGAACAAAAGGGTGTCTTAAAGGGTATCTAAGTATACTTTCAACCACTACAGAAGCTTTATGAAACCCTAGAATTTAAATTACTGCCACAATACCTGTGCCTCTTTGAGCATTATTCTTTATCAGAAAAGTCCTTCACTTTATCAGTGGACTAAAAAACCCTGGCATCTGATAATAACTGCTTGGGCCACTTATTTCATTTGACAGACAAAACATTAGTTTTATTATTTCACTTTATGAGCTTAAGCTCCAACAAAAAGAACGATGTCAATTATATCATGCTGAAAGCCAGGAGGTTTATCATCCAATATTCCCCTTTGCCTCTCACTCCCGAAACATCCTCCCCGCTACGAATTAATCACACCAGATATCGCCTAGCATGTTCTCCACAGCAACTCAAACAGAAACATTCAAATTGTTTTGAAAACTGAGAAAATTGAGAAAATGCAACAGAAAAAGAATAAACACGGCAGAGGAAGCATTAGGAGGATTGAGGGACGGAGCAGTTTATCTCCAGTGTTTGTTTCTTTGCTGGGTGCCCCTGGCATCTGGGAATCTGTTTTCTGTCCATGTTTCTCTACAGAATAAATCTCTTTCAAACAACAATTTTTTTCCAGCATGAAAACCAGCAATATTTACTTAAGCCTCAAACTGTGTACTGTATTTTTGGATCTTTTACATCAAATAAGCGGAAAAGATAAAAACAAGGAACTATAGACAAATCAAAGCATCGTATGTACATGTGGTTAGATTCACCTTCTAATGAAGAGGAACTTAGGACACTTCAAATCAAAGGTTTTATTTTATCAATAAAATATTTCAGTTAATGTCAAGAATCATTTCTCGCTTTTGAACGTCTGCTTATTCTTCTTTTTTTTTTTTTTTTTAGTTTCATTCTCTGAAAATTCTCAAATCAAAATTCTCATACTTAAGAAAGAACTGTGATGGAAGCTTTTTTTTTCTCTCTCTGACATATCGTAACAAAACATTAATTGTATAAAATATTTCAATTACCATTTGTTTATATATAAACTTGATCATAAAATCTCTAATTGGGCCTACATTACACAAGAGAATTTAATTTCACAGCAATAAATGGCAATTTTTATAAATTACCATTCATCATTTCCATTACATTTGTCAATGAAGTAGAAGTCTGGCCTTAAAAATGAAAATGAAAGAGAACATGCATGCAGATGCACATATAATTGTGAACAGTTATAACCCTATTTAACATACTTTTTGACATGCCTTTTTTTTAGAGCAATTTATCATGTCTTCATCACGAAGGCCTTCTTTAAATATGTATCACCTGCAATTCCTACTTATCTCAACAGATCTACATTAACATTTTCTATTATAAATCTATTAATACATGCCTTTAATGGGAAGAGGTGCCTAGCCATGCTTCAAATTAAAAGCAATATACATTATAAAAATTCAGCCATTACTTTCCCTGTCAAATGTTTAGTATTTTTCTTTATACAGTAGATCCAGATCTATATCAACACCCCATCCATGCATTCATTGCATAGATTCCAAGGCCTTTAATAATCCTATTTTAATTGATCCTGCACTTCATCAAGATATTCTATTATCATCACAATTATTGTAATCTTTTTTTTTGGGGGGGGGGGGGGGGGGAGGGGAGGGGGGGTCATAAAAAATTAACAAAATACTCTTCTCTCAGCAGCAATTGCCAACTGAGTGTATTTTCAGGTTGTGTATGTAATACAGTCAAACTTCATAATCTCACACTCGAAGGGACTGAGAAAATACTTTGAGATAACTGATGATTCGAGATATCCAGGGTAAAATACTTAAGAAATACTAAGAGTGCAACGATAAACCTTTTGACGGTATATAGCGGTATATTTTTCCACCGTTCAATTCACGATACGCTAAACTGATATCGCGGTTTGGTTCAATCGGTCCAGAATTATCCGAATCATCCATTTTGTTTCCTTGATTACACTTTCAAAATGGCTTCTGCACAAAACATGAAGTCAACGTTAACGTCTTAACGGTAGTTAAACTCATCTCCAGCATCTTATAAACCTCAGATTTAACACTGTGAAGGACTTTATCTCATTCCTAATGTGATTAAAAGTAATAGAGATCTATTACTATATATGGTAATACACGGTATCTCATCACGCGTGTATTTCAATTAAAATACGGTGTCTTGTTGACTAAAACGTGTTAACACGAGAAATATGACAACTGGTTTTCTACGTAAATAAAAGAAATAAAAGAATGAATGTCTTCCTTTTTCATTCCAATTTAAAAGGAAGATTATGAGGAAAGGTCCCCGTAGTTCCCTGTATATGTTCGTCATTGGTTTAGAATATTGCCATAACTCAAAGATCTACCTATCAATCAAATTAAGTTAACAAATTGATATTTTAATTATTATCAAAAAATGTGAACATTTGATATAAACATGTCAAGTTTAAAAAAAAAAAATATGATGACAAACTTGAAAGTCATGTATCGTGATACGTATCGAATCGTGAACTGAATACCGTGATACATATCGTATCGTGAGGTTGGTGTATCGTTGCATCCCTAAGAAATACATGGTTAGAACTTCCCAATCACTTCGACATATCCATGGTATTCGAGATACCGAAGTTCAACTGTGTAAGACATTTAGACACATTTACTAATTAACTGTAAACTGTATACTCACCAGTTCATCTTCCGTCCACTTCTTCTCAATGCTGCGAAGGGCGGGTGACTTGACCAGAGCTTGCAGCGCCTTTCCATGGTCGTAATTACAACGATGAAGCTGTTAATAAAAATTATCTCACATCATTGCATGCTACATGCTACAAATCAAATATTCATTACGTTCACTTATACTATATAATTTAGAGGCAAAATATCCTCCATTTGATACGTGAGAGGAACACAATCTTTTGATATCATAACTTGAAAACATATCTGTCAAATACCTCTAAAATATTCATCAATTTATTGACAGATTCCTATCTGTCATGTGCTAAGTTTTCACACCAGTAATTCAATTTTTGTCTGAGTAATCTTGTAAAGTAGCTCGATTTTGTCATTGTGAACTTCAGATTTGTGTGATTAAATGACAAACCGTATCCATGGCATTCATGGTTGTTTCATCCATAGAAGCTGCCTGACAGCCGTCTTCTGTTGACCCTCCATCACACATCCCAGCGAATGCGGCCACACTTCTACAAAATTCAATACCATCTCATCATCAAGCCCACTACTTCAATTAACTCTCTCAGCACTCACAATAAGACTGTTCTTTTAAAGTCTCTTCCAGTCTTATTCTTTATCCCCTTTATAAAGGTTTCTTCAGAAAAACAATGAGCATTTTCTTTTCAGCTAGATATTTCTTGCAGTCATTTTGTCAATATTTTATTGTCATTCAATTGCACTTTTGAGCATTTCCTACACACTCATAAAAAGGCCTAATTAATGTAAAATATTTCTCTCTGTAAGAAATAGAGGGGGAAAGCCTGGATAATTTGGGCCACTGGGAGGAACACTATATAATAGGTAATTTTCCCAATTGTCAAATTTTTGTGTGGAATTTAAGGGTTAAATAAAATTAACCAAAAAAAAAAAAAAAAAAATCACAGGAAATCTAATTTAGTTACCCATATCCTGTAGAGGCAATGAATTAGAAATCTGGAATCACAAAGATTTCAAACTGTAGACATTACCTGCCACTGTGGAATATCATTTAAATTCTAGGGGCCAATATTTATTGATTGGTTTAAATTACAGATTTGAGCAAAAGTAATTTCATGGGCAAACATCTTGTTATGAAATATATAGCCATATAGCCAAGTGATCAAAATTTGCACAGGATTTTTAATTCAAGGGCAAGGGGTATCCATGAAATCCATGAAAAATTGAACAGAAAAAAATGACTCCCCAATATATGGCATTAAATAGCTAATCCTCTATGCTGGTTCTTGCTACACTGGTTCCTATGCTACACTGGTTCTATGCTACACTGGTTCTATGCTATGCTGGTTCTATGCTACATTGGTTCTATGCTATGCTGGTTCTATGCTACACTGGTTCTTATGCTACACTGGTTCTATGCTATGCTGGTTCTATGCTACACTGGTTCTTATGCTATGCTGGTTCTATGCTACACTGGTTCTATGCTACACTGGTTCTTATGCTACACTGGTTCTTATGCTACACTGGTTCTTATGCTACACTGGTTCTATGCTATGCTGGTTCTATGCTACACTGGTTCTTATGCTACACTGGTTCTTATGCTACACTGGTTCTTATGCTACACTGGTTCTTATGCTACACTGGTTCTATGCTTCACTGGTTCCTTTGCTACGCTGGTTCCTACCTTGCTGCTCTGAGATACATCATCAAGTCCCCATCCCCAACAGAAAATGGGCGCCACCGCAGCTCCTCCCATCTCTCCGGATTCTCTGGCATTTGGCTGGGGGGCACATCTCGCCTGAACTCAGGCAGCCGAGCCTAAAACATGTAAATAGAGAAAATCAACAGGCTACAAAACAAAGCGCCAAAAAAAAATTCTTTATCTTTATTGAATATTTTTAAAATTATTTCAGCTCAAAATACAATGTACAGAATGTCAAATGGTGTCTGAAGTGAACATAGTAGGTCAAAAAGAAAAGTAAATTCAATCGAAATGCAATGATGAAACAGCTTTTAAAAAATCAGTAACCCTGTATATAATAAAAGAGGAAGGATTGCAATAAGAATATTAAAGATATAGATATCAAGATGTAGTGTTAAAGGATGTGGTTAGCATCCTGTTACGACATAATTCCTCTTATCTGCATGTGGCATGGGAAAATATATCTAATATCCATGTGAAAAACAAAGATAAAAAAATAAATGCAGAAACTCATCATTGAAATTCATTGTTTATTTAACTATTTTGATAGAATCAAACTGTCCATGCAAACTGATCCTGATAGAAATCAACACATTTCTGCAACTGAAAAATGCATTGTCCATACAACAACATTTGTCTAACTTATCAGCACATCTTACAGTTTTACATGGAAATGAAATCTATATGAGGAAAAAGCTATCAGCTTGCAGAATATTGGAGTGATGTTGTGGCACACTGCGTACCACGATATACTCAGTAGGAGGAAGCAGATAACGGGGGATTTTATCACTCGGTATTTGTACAAATCAGCTAAAGAGTTTTTACGAAGCAGATTTTCTCTCCCTAGTGATACTTAATTCCGCCAGGGCTGATCAACGAATCGATGTGAAAGAGTCAACAAATGCAGAGACAATTTGACAAATATTTCTAACACCATCATAAAAGGTTTACATAATCTCTGTAAGCTTAGAAATCAGAAGCTGATATCAAATCTGACAGACTTGAAAATGTCTAGGATTTGATTTTCTAGATGGTACCCCAGATATTGGAGTATTTCCCCCTTTCACCCGGATAACAAGACTTCACATGCACCTTCCATACATCAAACACTTGTAAAGCTAAACCCTAAACACACATTTCAAAAGATACTTCAAAGCTGACAAAAATTCGTCGGTGAAATATATTATGTACATTTTCTTATTGCTCAGAAATCAATCATTGGTTCGTAGTGGTGGCCCAATACTGTCTGCTTTTACTTTTAAAATAACACCTTTCAGGAATTAAGATGTTCATTACGATTGGATATAATGTTTACCATCTTGCTATGGGTACAACACTTATCATTAAAGCCGCGTCTAAGTATTAAAAGCAATTTTCATAAAATCAACACACTAATAAATCATTTATTACATCAATAAAATACCGGGTTTATATCTCTGTAAGCTCTGCAGACCCTTGTAGCCTTTAAGAGATTTCTATAAAGTAAAGCACCACGCAGACAAAAATCTTGTTAAACATTCCTTAGATAATGCAAATATAAGGCTACATAAAATCAGTCACGCTAAGCGCAAACCTTAACCAAATGAACAGCTAAAACATAAAAAGATTCGAACACACTCTTTCCATTATTAATAAATGGTTTGTAAAAATGCCAAAAAATGTTTGATCTTCACTTTTTTTCCGTGTACTTTTTTAAAAATTTAATCATCAGTGAATAAAGCTGTTGTCCTCTGAGATGTGTACAAGATTGTGCAGGATGTGCATTATATCAATGATACAGATTTAACAGCAAGCGTGGTAAAACAACGAACTACATATGTATATAATTCTAGATCCCACTCATATTGTGACCAATCCCTGTCCTTCTTAATAAAGCCACATCACAAAGGACAAAATTAGAAGCCCAAAAATTTACACCCACTTATCCTCCATTGTGGTGGCAAATTTCTCGATTTGGTCTACAGTGAAAGTAACCCATGGAGATTCAAATTACTGCCCCTTGCTAATCTGACAATGGCAGTAGGCAATTTTAATTATTTTAATTCTTTATACTTTAATTATCCTTTGTTAGACCATTTACTTAGCTGAAGAAGAGAAAAATCATAAAACCGAAATTGGCCAATTTACAAGGTTGGTTTGAAAATCAACACTCGGCAGATTAGCTTTTAACATGAATGTGTATAATCAGCTCAGCACAGGTAATTGAGAAAACTTGTTTAAATGGCTTAAAAAGTTGATAGTGCTCCCCAAAATAGCTATTATCTCCTCTCATGCATAGAAACATGCTTTTTGTTTATCTTGTGGAATTTACCTCAAGTCATCTTTTTGACAAGATTATGGATTGCTTGCTGTATCTTAAAGGTATAATTTGCCTCCACTACACTAAAATTCCCATTTCAAAAAGTATCAATTACAAGACTAAACATTTATACCACCCAAAAATTCAAGTATCAACTCATTATTAAAAGAATCATGTGTTTGATATCAGGCCAGGTCTCATCCCCGATAGCTTTATCTTGTATTTGATAATACAATCGGGTAAAAAAAATTCACTCCATTGCAAAATATGTTTGTGTATTTAAACATCTTACAAATGAAGCTAAAAACTGAAGAAAAACAATTTGTGTTATTGAATTTTACTGCTTATTCCTACTCCTCGATTTTGAATGGTCATTGTGAGGTTTTAAACTACAGGAAAATATAATCTCTTCTCACTGATACAAAAAAGACCTAGTTGATACAATAATACTAGTAATATCATGCTATTTTGCTTCCAAATGACCAAGATGAATGACACACAATAAAACACCTTGTGGATTCTGCACATGTAGGATCGAGTCAAATGATAACTTGAAGGTAAACAAGCAGATAAATTTCTTACCTGATGGCTCGGACCCACTCGAATCTCGCCTTGCGTGGTGGCCAGTCTTTTTGTTTTCGGATTATATTCTAGTACATAGAAGAAAGTATCGTCTCTTGGCTTGAAGTTCTTCGCAGAATAGATGTCTTGGAAGTGCTCAACTTTACACTTTCCCCTACAATTTCATAAGGAAAGGAGACCCATGTATTTTAAATCTTTTCAATTTTTCATTTGTATGTGATTCGGAGTCTTTTTTGTTATATTGTATTTGTATCTATACAAAGCACCTAACGCTAGGATGAATTAGAATTTAATATGTAAAAGCACAAGGACATAAATCCAGTGTTCCATACTTAATGACACTTATTTAATAACAGCTGACAAAAATGATCTTTCATGTATCACTGTTTACAGCTAAGCATGCGATATATCAACGTTATGGATCGCATATTTCTTCTGTGAACTAGTGTAAATTCTCCAGATTTTTTCATGGTAAATTTCTTGAAGCCAAACATTTGTGAAAATACTGCACTCAGCAGTTAGCACAATCTACAAATTGTCTTAATTTATTTTGAAGACAATGAATTTATGCATTTGAATGAATTGAAAAAAAAAAGCCTTTTTTTTTTTTTTTTTTTTTACATGATTATATCATGTTTATGTCATACTATAATGAAAGACATCATAAGGCTTAAATCTATGATACATACATTACTCGCCCATAGGAACAGGTAATTAATTTACATTGTATAATTTTATATGAATACATAATTGTCCACACTACTTTCTAAACATTGAAAAAAAAAATTAAAGCATTAACTTCCTAATTATAATTGTTTCACCAATGTTTTATGATTGGTTGTTTTATATTTTAGCCATTCATACAGTGTAAACTTTTATCAGATATCAACACTAACCATCATCTGACACTAACTAGATAACTCACTTAAGTGTCTGATGAAATATCAATGGAATCAATAACATAGGTACAACAATTTTATTTGAGAAAAAACAGTTCTTCTATCTTGAAGAATCAAAATTTGAACAATGCATGGGCAAAGTTGATCTGCAGGTTCAGATTATCAATCGATCAATTATAGTATTTCATTTTATAAAACATTTACTACTTTCAAATGATAATTAAATGTTAGGATAATTATTCTAAGCTGCAAGATCAAATAACCACCTAGCCTGATGAAAACAATGGTTAGGTTTGGTTTATTGAATAAAAAGTCATTGAATTGAAACATTCTCCAACAATAAAACATTTATTGACTTTTATGCGGTCACACAATCATTTAGCTACATTTAAGGACGTTGTTCACTTTGCTGTATAATGTTCAATGCAAAGAAACAACACATACTTGAGTTATTTAAGGGCTTCTCCTATTATCACTCACTATGTGCAGACTGTAATCCTAATACTACTTTGTCACCCACACTAACAAAACTTTACACTGGATTTTAGAGTTACAACACAGAGAAATCTTTTAATTTTTTTTTACTTTGATTAAACGATTCACATATACCTTAGTTATGACATTGGAAAAGAAAAACTTGAAGCAAATGGCCAAAAGGTTGTAAAATCTACAACTGATTGTTCCACTCTAATAACATGAGGTTTGAAAATTTAAAAACCAAACATTTTCAAAATAAAACCAATCTTATCATTCTAATTACCTTAGGGCCTTCACAGGGTATGTATCAGAGGCGTTGGAAATGAAGAGTTCTCTGCTCTTGATCTTTGGATCGTTCAAAGCTGAGTCCCGTCCAGTGCCTGAAAAATCAAAAATGTCAGAATTATAACCATCTAAGTTATTATACCATTTATTACATAGAAAACTAACTACTTCCTTGTGAAAATACCTTCATGTAGATATACACACTCGTAAAAAAAAAAGATGCGAATCAATTAAAGAACCTTCCACACAGTGTATCAGATAAAGCGCTGGTAAAATCCTTGTTACAAAGTCCGAGAGTTATGTATGTGTAGTAACATTTCAGGACAGGAACTGGCACACAGAGCTAGCTCATAACAGGAGATTTACCCTTACTAGTTTATCATACTTCCACAAGTGTTTTCCTGGCTACATTTTGTTATACAATCCGTGGCCCTCACCACCTTAAAAGCTTCCTTATTTTATGTGTATTCCTGACAATTATCTCTATCCTGTTTTTCAAATTTCACATCTCTCAAGTTGAAACATATATTGCTTCACTACCTTCCTAAGGAAACTCTTACAAATTACTTAATTTACATAAAACTGACAAATTTACAACTGCTAGGCTTTTGAAATATATAAAGTGATTAATTATCACACATCTTGAATAATTTCCTCAATGACTCTTGAAGCCTGATTTTTTAAATGCTTAATCACTAATACCTACAGAATCATAAATTAATTTCCAAAATCCTTGAAACAGCACAGCATTTTCTTGACTGACAATAACCAACCAAACTAACAAAGCATCATTTCTTAATATACAATGTACAGTATAAGGCCATCACGTTCCTATTCCGCAGAAGGGGGCACTGACTCCTTGATGATAATATTATAATAGACACAATACAGTTTTTTGTGAGGATTTTCTGTGTGCCAATAAATAGGTGTCATTACTATATACTAAGCCTTCATTAAAGGTTTATCTATGACCATCATGCTGTGTATTTTATACTACTGTAAGTGAAGTTATTATTGCTATGACTTATGATTATTTCTGTCCAGGTGCAACTAAACATTAAAAGATTTATTAGAAAATAGCAACTAAAATAGAAAATTATTTTTCTGTGTCTCCATAATTATAATAAAAGCTTTCCAATTCTCAAACCTTGAGGTTAATGCTCTAATGTCATCTGGATGTTTCTATTTAAGTAGAATATGAAGTTTATTGTTCTTATTTAGACTGAATGGAATATGGGACTTGGACCTCATTCATTTTCGCAAAAATAAACTCTTTAGAAGAATTTCCCAACAGAATTTACATTACAAGTATAAGAAGTTTTCTAGCTGATCTATACCAATGGCTTATTAAAAATCAATTTCCCCGATATCATTCAGCCTTAATGCTATTTGACAGATCATTGTAGGCTTTTATACCCTACCTGATAAATATCATGCGTCTTTCAATACTGGAGATTTAACTCGCCTAATTTAAATAACAGTTTATCTTTCCTCATGTCAATTTTACACAGATTAAATTTCAAGTACAAAGATTAGATTATAATGCAGTACAAAACACAGTAGAAGGTCCTAATAGCAGTCAAAAAATTAAAATGTTGATTTAAAAATATGTAAAGCTATGTTCATAATAATAAAACAAAAAATAGATAACATAAATTGTGGGATTCTATTAAGCACAAAATTATGGTTGAAATTTAATTCCTACTGCTCTAAGAAACAGTCTGTTTATCAAATATGCTCAACAAGATATCCTGTATGCTGAAGGGAGAGAAAATTGTTTCTTCACCTCCCTGAAAGATTACAGGGGCTAAGTCCGATTTATTATCAACTTCTTTTATTGCTCACTCAACTCTGACTTTGCAGTTTTCTTAAAAGTTAAATTCACTGATAGATTCATATCTAAAACTTGGGTTAAATATTACAATCTTGAGAATTTGATCTTTGCACGTACTCCATAACTTCAATGTAATTCATCTTCTTTTGTCAAATTTGTTTTCAAAACACCACCATTTTTTAATTCATAATTGGGAATCAGTGCTTATTAATCATTAGGTGATCACATATATTTTAACCTTTAGAATCCATCAGGTTTCTTTCAGCTATAAATCTGGCACACAGAAAGCCAGCTAAGTGAACCAACCAATCAAAATCCCAGAGAGCCTATAATGTCCCCTGGGAGAAAGGAGATAAATTTGTTTCACACAATGTAATATATCATTTACCTGTTGAGCGGTCAGGTAGACTATAGTTTTATCCCCCAAGATATTGGTTTTCACACACAGTGAAACTGTTTACATAGTTAATTAAATCATACCTTACTGTTCACATGATTATTTTATCAGATCTTAATCAATAAAATTTTACTAGAACACCTACAGAAAGTTTGGCAAAAAAATCATAAGAATCTGTTAATTCTTTTCCTTTCATAAGTAAAACAAATCATTCTCAAGTATTTTCTGTCATCCCCCCTCTACCCCATAGGGAACCCCTAATTGAAATCCAATTATTTACAGCAATTACAGCACACACACATTGCTGTGTTATCACTCTTGTTCTAGATGAAGCCAACATCAATTGCATGTTTTTCTAGGCTCTTAGCGCCATTCATGCACCACACATATGCCACAGTATCAGACTCCGCGATCTCTGAATTTCCTTCCAACAAGAAGCATGTCAGATAATAAACTAATTCAAAGCTTGATCCTAAAGAGGTGGGTTCTCCCTTTTTACCCTATAACTGCTGGGCCATAAAACACAACACCACAAGAAATCCATCTAATACCATTCACTGTTTAAATATAAATTGGCCTGGCTTGAGGTCTGCTGTATTTTTCTTATGCTAATGAGCATAAGGCACACATATAATGAGTCCATCAGAGGGGAAGAATATTTTATAAACTTGATTGAACATGGAAAAAATCGTTCCCTCTTATTGCAGGTTCCGCAGGTGCACTTCATTTCAATTCTTCCCTTTATCAATTTATAGCATGCAAAAACTGGAGACGATCAGTGGAAATAATTAGGATATATTGCGATTTTTACAGCAGCAGGTGATTAAGATAAGCATGTATGATTTGTGTATGGCTCTCCCAACTAGAATGGTTCAAACCAGTGAAATTGATTACAGGCCCCTCTGTTAATGGCTGCCAGTAATGGTTAATTATATACAGTAACTTGTCCGCATCTGTCAATGACATGACTTCTTTATACTTTATAGATCAAGTAATCGGCTACCAGTTTACACATCGCAATCTAGGCACTGTGATAGCCCTACAGAGTTCAGTCAATATGTCTGATAACCCACCGACCAGACAAAAAAAAATCTTATCCATTAAACAAGACATTAAATCTTCTGTTGCTTAAATCAATTACAAGAGAAAATCCTTACCTCACATGCTAGTTGGCTGTTTAACAATAAAGACCAATTTCTTTATCTCCCTTCTGAGTCACATGCTAATCCTTAATGTATATATTCCAAACACAATCTTTGAGAAACACACACCAACAAAAAAACTGTTAATAATCCTAGCACACACACACACTCCACTAAGCAGACATAAGATACACAATATACACTGTGCACACCCCAACGTGGACTGCTGACAGGTAAAAATGTCTCAGGTAGGCACACCACTCTCTCGACAGGTGACGTTAACCTCGCCACAATAAGGCCTAAAAACTTCACTCAATGCTAATTTGGTATTTTGTACCAAAGAAAAATAGGTCCTCTCTCTGTACACTGTCCGGATCTTCACACAAACAGTTTATCTTCAGCATTAATCTTCATCTGTTCATGGGCATGAAAAACCAACTAACCCTTGACCTCTGACCCCCACTAATAACCAATAAATCAATGCATGGGAGGGCCACAGTAGCTAGGATTTTTCTTGACTGTCAAAGGCAGCTAACCATTGGATTCCTCATATCAATATTTAAACAAACAAGAATCATTGCTGAGCTTTTCTCCTGCTTGGATAAATACAGACAAACAAAACTGTTTAAATTCAGCAAATATCCATTTAATAGCCTTTAACCATATTAGGACATGATCACATTCAGATGATCCGTGGAAAGAATTAAAGGTACACCATCGCTAGAATAATAACAACTTTATGACCCCTACACAGATCCCTGCTCTTAAAGGCTCTCCACAAAGAAACCAACAAAGTGAAAAGTTACTCTGCTAATTGACTTTTTATTGAAGGGTAACTGTCTCCTCAAGATGTTTTTCTTTCTACCAAAATTTGGTAGAATATTTCTTTTTATGAACCAGTATTGGTTAAAATGTCAAGTAAAAATCTTTAAGCCTTTTTTGAAATTGCAAAAAATAGGGTCTTTATAAATGTCCATGCCCTAGTTAAAAAAAAAGGCTATTAAATCAGTCTCCTGTGATGCACCCCTCCCTAAAAATCTACTTCATCTTAAGTATGTCTGGTTATCAAACTTCTAAAGTCAGGCTTTCAATACCCCTTTCACAAGGAGTTTTATGTGTACACAAACGACAAATCAATTTTGTACACTTGTATTTTATTCATATCAAATCATGGCGATGAATTGGCGCATTTAATGTACTAAAGAATATTGGAGAAGAATTAAATCTCTCATAACATGACATCGGTGGTTCTTAAGAAGGGCTACTTAAAAATCTCAACTAACAAATGGTTTTGTTAGAAGATTAAGAAGTACAAAAATAAGTCAATACAAGAAAGGAAATATCTAATTTCCACTTTGGGTAAACGATTACAACGCCAATGGCTTAATACAATGCTACAGGAGGTGTTATGCTATTTCAAGTGTAAAATAATTAAAACAGAGTTTCACAAAGTCTCAAAGAAGACCAACAGTCCAGGGATTAAACTTGGAATTAGTCACAACTTGGAATACTAATGGACAACAGAAATAAGATATGTGATACCTAAAATACATTAAAAGTACATGTACTTAGCACTTGACAGAAAAAAAATTGTGGTATGCAAATGATTTTTTTTCCTGGATGATATGCTAATTATGAGATTTCTAAAATGTGACATGAGAACAAAACAGCAGTCCACCAGGACTATACTTTTGTGTCTCAACCAAACACTATGTATACTAT